GCCTGCCTGAAGAGAAAGGTCTTTGCCTGCTTGTGGAAGGACAGCAAAGATGGGGCCAGCCTGGCCTCCTATGGGAGGGAGTTCCAGAATCTGGGAGCAGCAACAGATAAGGCCCTGTCCCGTGTCCCCACCAAGCTTACCTGTGAGCATGGTGGAACCAAGAAAGGCCTCTTACAACCAGGACTTTAAATTGTGCCCAGAAATGGATCAGCAGCCAATGGATCTGCTGTAACAAAGGAGTAATATGTTCCCCTGTAACAAGCCCCCGTTAACAATCTGACTGGCAATTTGGACCCTCTGGAGTTTCCAAACACTCTCCAAAGGCAGCCCCACATAGAGAGTTTTATAGTCATCCAGAGGAGGTGGGGCAGAGAAGCTGGGACGTTGCCTCTGATTGGGCACCCACTGGAGGGGGCAGGGTACTAAACCAATTAACAACTGCTGTGGTGGTAAACAAACCAAGAGAAACTGTGGAACTGATGGTTTGTGTCCATCTCTAATAATGACTAAAGTCAGAGCTAGTGTGGTGTAGTGGATAGAAAGTTGGACAAGGATGCAGCTGACCTGTGTTCAAATCTATGCTTGGAAACTCACCAGAAGGTAACAATGGTAAAACACTCCTTAATTATTTCATGTCTGACAAAAACCCTGTTAAGTCAGAAGCAACTTGATGGCACATAGCAATAAATGACTAAACTAACCAGTTGGAAGCACAAATGGGGTGAAGTCTGGAGACTTGTAGCTATTCTCCCCTACGAGTCTCTGTACTTCCACTATGTAGGAAAAAAGAGAATTTTACAAGAAATTCAAGACTCTGCAACAACCTTCTTTGCCCACCGAGTTCCTCTTGCCATGTAGCTAGAAAGACACAAAGTCTTTGCCTTTTGAAAATGGCTACTATAATTCACCACTTTACTATGTTAAAGTAAATCACAACTAAAGCTTGAATCAACAGAACTTATAGAAGATTTGACTCACCAAATCCCCACTGATTCAATGTGCCTACTCTAGTGCGACTTACTACACTAAGCCACAGGATCTCAGGAAGTATACTGTATGGAGGTAGGTAGGTAGGTAGGTAGGTAGGTAGGTAGGTAGGTAGGTAGGTAGGTAGGTAGGTAGGTAGGTAGGTAGGTAAAAAGAAAGAAAGAAAGAAAGAAAGAAAGAAAGAAAGAAAGAAAGAAAGAAGGTAGGTAGGTAGGTAGGTAGGTAGGTAGGTAGGTAGGTAGGTAGGTAGGTAGGTAGGTAGGTAGGTAGGTAGGTAGGTAGGTAGGTAGGTAGGTAGGTAGGTAGGTAGGTAGGTAGGTAGGTAGGTAGGTAGGTAGGTAGGTAGGTAGGTAGGTAGGTAGGTAGGTAGGTAGGTAGGTAGGTAGGTAGGTAGGTAGGTTGCTCATCTAGTGGCAAGCCACTACTCCAGGTGGTTTACAACAATTAAAACACACTCTCTCCCTTCATGCCCAAAACACAGAAATAATCTAAACCAAAACAAACTCTGGAGAACCCAGAGTTTCATAGGGGGAAGATATTCTTAAGGGCCTCCTTAAAACACTTGACTTTCACCCACTTCCTGAGGGTCAAGAGAGAGGGAGCCTGGTCCACATCCCCAGGCACCATGTTCCATAGCATCACCAAAAAGGCCCAGTTTCTGGGCAGTCATTTTCCGGGCCTCTCTTGGAGTGGCCACCTGTAACAGCAAAGCTTAGGAAGAATGGGTGGTCCAGGTAGACAAACTTAAGGAAAAACAGTCCAACAGGCAGTGAGATCCCAAATTGTTAAGGGCCTTGTAGGTCAATAAACACTTTCAATTTGGCATGGAAACCAACACAGAAGATACCTTTATCTTGACAAGTGAATTTTTAAATAAAATTGAAACAGCATTTATGTGCTGTCTTTTTATTTATGAGATCTGGTAAGATGATGAGAACTCAGAGATAAATGTTTAAAAATGACTGTCATATGCAAATTTTATCTATAGTATTCCCCACAATGCTCTATAAGCATACATAAAATTGCCTGTACAGAACACTAAACATGTATTATTCTGGAATGTATAAATAGTAGAATAACCTTGAAATGAAGCCCAAAATTTCACATTTTGGGGTGGGGGGAGCTGATGTAGTGGTTTTTGGTGCAAAATATTTTGGCAAAAGAAATGGAATCTTAGGGTTTGTGTATGCCATTATTAGACCAAAAAACATCAGATTGACATTTAGTTTGTGTGCTCAACAGTCTGATCTCCTATGCCAGTCATTTCCTTTAATTTAGCCCAAGAACCTGATAATCAGTGCTTCTGTTTTTAAAATGGCACAAGTACTTGTTCACAACATAGTGCTGACAATTCAGTACAATACCATCTAAGACTTCGTTTACACAGTCTGCAGAAGCTCTTGGCTTTAGCCAACAATCAAATTCGATGGAAGTGTTTCAGATTGCACAATAGCCAGACACAGTTTACAACATTCTCCAACTAACTGGTTTGTAATTAGTTTCAGGCTACTACCAGTTTTAAAGAGAGGCCAGGTTTTCACTTGCTCACAAAAGCTCAGGAGGGTGGGGGCCAATTGCACCCTCAGGCTATTACCAGTTTTAAAGACAGGCCAGGTTTTCACTTGTTCATGAAAGCTCAGGAGGGTGGGGGCTAATTGCACCTCCACAGGGAGGGAGTCCCAGAGTGGGGCAGCCACTACCGAGAAGACCTGGCTTGCGGTTGACACCTTCCAGGCCTATCTCAGAGTGGCCACCTGCAGCATCAAAGACTGGGAGGTGCTGTTGGGACAGGAGGATGACCTGAGAAAGAGGCACTTTGACAGGCAGTGAAGTCCTAAACTTCAAGAGCTTTAGAAGTTAGCACCAGTACCTTGAATTTGCCTGGAAGCACACTGGGAGTCAGTGCAGGCAGGCCAGGAGGGGTGAAATATGGTCAAACTTAGAGGTATCAGTGACCAACCTTCCTATAAAGAAGGGGGCGGAGATGCACAATCTGCCACAGATGGAAAAAAGTCACAACAAGGATAGTTGAGAAGTTTTCAAATAATAAATTAGTATATCCACAAATAAACAGTATTATTAATTCATACAGTGGAACAGAGTACTAGCTCTAGTCTGTTTCCAGCCACAATTAAAAATGCAGGGTTTAACCTATAAAGCCCTAAATAGCTATCTCAAAGAGCGTGTATCTCCCTTTATGAATTTGCCCAGTTTTTAAGATTATCAGGGGAGACCAGTCCATGAGGGCTTTTTGAAAATGGAACTGTTGTGTTTTATTGTTATTTAATGTGTTTATTACAGTTTTCACTCATAAATTTTAATATTATAATTGTTTAATTCTTTTCAATATAGTAATAATTTATTGTTTAGTTTTTAACATTGTTGTTTTTTATACTGTAAAATGTCTTGGATCCTTTTTAGGAGAAAGATGGCATATAAATATTTTAATGATATAAGCCGCCTTGGATTCTTTCAAGGAGAATGGTTGGGTAATAAATAAATAAATAAATACTGTAATATATGTTTTTATTCCATACTTTCATTCCTCTTAAGAAAAAAGCTGGGGATTGTGGTATTAGACATCCAGTAAAAGCTAATCTGTCAGAACTGTCAGGAAGCTTTTACTTTCCTACTAGCCATTTACTGTATTCAACTTTAACTATAAAATGTAGCCAGATAAATAGAAAAGTGGTAAATTATGAACTTCAAGCACTAATCTTTTTTACAGTTGCTATTACTTTGTCCCTAATCTAATCTGTGAATCTAAACAAGCAGGCTGCTCCGCTAACATCATAGCTCTAGCAGCTTTCCTCTCCACCACAAACAGATATTTTGTAATATTAATGGGTCTTAAATGCCCAGTCAAGATCAAGCCACCCCAAAATACTTTAATTTATAGAAACTGCTCAAAACTATACATTGTTGCTGACAGTGGCAGCTGACACTGTCCAACCACAGTAAAGGAAGCCTCATTCCAGTCCAGTGTGGGCTCCTTCTAAGTCTCCTTCTCCTCTCCCAGTAGGATAGCAGTTAAGAGCACACCAAATGAAGAATCTTGAAAGAGGAGGAGAGATGATGTCATTATTCTTTCCTCACCAGAAAGTGAGAAAGTGCCAGCAAGTTAACCCTGCAAGCCTGGGCTCCACTTCAGTGAAACCAGACATTTAGTAGACCTGCCTTACCTACCACTGCATCTTTAAATCCAGGAATAAATCAAAATTATCCTGAATAATCTACCTGCAGTGCACCTATTAAACATGATACATTGAAACCATAAATCATGTACACAGCCCCGCTTGCACTTATTTAAACTGAATACTATTGTTTTCACAGGGATTTTAAATTAATGTAAGTATGCCAGTTTTGCAGATTACAGGTTCTGGCTACAAATAAGATCATAAGTATACTCCAGCCCAGTTACTAGAGAACTCCAGTTAAGATTACACCAGAGTACAATGTTTATACCTTCAAACCTTGGTAAAGTAAATGGGAAATTTTGTTAAACAAAAAGGTGTGATCCTAAATATGCTCAGAACAAATTCTGACCAAGCACCTGCTACTTGTCAAAGGTATGAAAGAAAGCGTTCTACAAAGTGAATGCCTTCCTATACAGTATATATATCCTGAGTTTATATGGCCATTTCTTTTTTTTTTTAATCGCCAGGTGGTAAGGTTTCTAAACCGCACAAAAGAACCAGCTGTATCTAAACTCTGTGCCAGAATGATACCAAGTCTGCGATAAGAAAGGTACTGTATGTCCTTCCCCGCAAGCGTGTGCACACGCAGGGCGGAATCTCTCACAAAAAGGGTGTGATGCCGAGCTGTTATCAAAGACCTGCCAAGCCCGCTCCCAGCCCCCAAAGGGCACCCGGTTTGGTCGCCAGCCATCGTCAACCACTGAACTAGCCGTTTACAGGCAAGGCAGCACAGGCTAGCCCCAAGCAACGCTGACAGGAAACAGCTGGAGGAAAACAACTTTATACATATACAGTATATATTTAAAACTTCCTTACCTATTGATTTTGAGAGCAAATGCCCTCCTGTCAGAACTGGGCAAAGTAGCCATGCGGGCGACGGCGACCCTCCTCAGCTTCTAAACTCCGCCACAGAACAGTTGGCGGGTTTCCACAAAAGGCGGCGGGTTTTTAATTAAATCATCCCAAGCGAGCCTGAGCCGTCAATTCAGGCTTGGGGTAGAAACTTCCGCATTTCTAACCTTCTTCACGAAGCAGACACAAGGGGAGGGACCAGCTACTGGAAGTTACTCCTGGTCGCCTTCTCAGTTGACAACAGAGGATGAGTTCAGAGGCCTTAACCCCATTCCGAGGCTAGGTCTCCGCCGGCAGCCAACTGAGGCACTAATTATTAGAGGCTCAAGATGAGGGAAATTAGAGCCTTGGCGTGTTTGGCCAGGCGGTCCCGATCAGAACGCAAGTTTTTTGTGGCGGGGGGAGGGAGAAATACACAGACTTCAATATCCGAAAAACATTGCTAGATCTACGTAGCTTAGAATTAGAGTCTCTCCGAAATCTGGTTTGTTGGTTTCATTAGGGAAGTATTTGAAAAATGGCGGCATTTAAAGACGAGCCGCCTTCTGGAGGAGTCAATTCTAGCACCCAGTTGTGCAGCAAGTCTCTCTCTCCCGCGCAAGCGACACATTCCGACTGGCAGCGAGCACCCACGTAAGGTTTATTCGTGTGCCAAAGAACGTGGGCTGAGCTCTCGCCCTCCTCTCTGCGTACATATTTACCTCTGAGGCATGCAAATACTGTTCTCTCTACTGGACTGCTCACTGTAATTAATTGTAAAAAAAAACAAAAACCAAGAAAGCAATGGATCTATAGTGTTTATCAGGTAATCTAAACTATGCTCAAGCATTAGTTTCCAAACCATTCGGAAATCTGCACTGGTTGCAGTTTTGTGAAACCCTCCAGTTCAGGCGCGGAGCGCGCTTTACTGGATGTCACTCTTTTGCTGCCTTTAAATCAAGCGCCAGCAAGTCTCGGCGCCGGTGGGGGAAACCAAACTGCTCAGCGAAACGCGGGCGGGCGGACCAGAGTTTGAGGGGATCTCTCAGGAAAAACATGGCAGCCGAAGAAGAAACCGGCTCGTCTTCTGGAATGGCCGCACGAAGGCGGAGGTTCGTTGGAACAGCGAGGAGGGCTCGGCTTTGGGAAGGCATTTTGCGCCATGGTTTTTTAGCCGACGGAAATCCACTGCGCGCACGTGGCTTGGAAAGACTTTGCATCTCTGTGCCTCGCGGGGAAGTCAGAGGAACCGCCCTGGTGAATGATTGAACAAACAAATGAAAACAAATTACTGTACTGTGGGAACACAAGGCTAGATAGCTTGCGAGCCACTTATGTACACCACACAGCTTGGTATTTGGAGGAATGGAAGGTGCACCTTCCCATTCCTCCAAGGGTAACCACAGAATTTTATTAAGGTGTCATTTACATAACGGGAAGAAAAACATGAAAATAAACCGATCCAAAATTATTCCGTGCTTCACACAACTCTTATTAACACAATACTGTACAGTATTGCCTTAGCAGCAACTTTAGAAGAACTCTTATTAACACAATACAGTATTGCCTTAGCAGCAACTTTAGAAACTTCAGTTTTGGAGAGACAGCTTAAGATCTCAGTACCTGATGAAGCTCAACAGTAAAGTCTTCGTTTACTTCCCCCCTTCCATTTTAGGGCTGTAACCGAATAGAGATTCCATAGCTTGAACGTCAGCCACCGCCCAGCACCAAAAACCCATACTTCTGCTCTTTTAAATCATTGTCTGATTTAGGGAATCCAAAATCCTGCACTGTATTTTGTGATATTTGAGTTGATTTAATACGATTTTGGATTTTTTTTTCCTCTTTACCTTTGTGCTGGCTCTCTTTACTCCACTTTATGACTCATTATATGCTTCCTACAATGAGACTTCTGTAGTGAAGAAATAGTTTTTGAAATCAGATTTGTGTGTTGTATGCCACGCAACTGATCTGATGCTTGAAAATACAGATGAATAAATAGATCACAAGAAACAACAATAATTTAATCAACTAGAAAGCACATAAATCCTTGGCCTCCTGTGCAGGCTTTTCCAGCATTCCAGAACCTTCCTTGCAGCTCCCCAGGTGTTGCCACTGGGGCAAAACAGGTGCTTGAGCCAAAATGTCAAGGCAATGGCAAATAAACATATAGCACTGAAAACATAAGTCAAAGTGTGTTTGAGGCTTCTCTGACAGCTATGACAGATATACTGTATCCATTTTAAGAATGTAAATAAGTTGTAATTGAGAAATCTTGCAACTCTGTGATTCTAAATTCTCAGTACAGAAACAGAATTGTCTCACAGATTTTTATTAGAAAATATTTGACAGCCCAAATATTTATTAAGAAGTAAAGAAATTCATGGAATTACTGTAATCCCAAATAAGTGTGTTTATGGTTGCAGCTTCAGTCACTAGAAATGAAAGGTGTATTCATAATCAAATACTGTACACTGAGTGAGAAGTTTAAGAGCCCAAGTAACCAAGTTGGATAATCTATACTAGTGTTTAAAATTATATTAAAACTGAAATGCCACCTGGTGGATTCTTAGAGAATAATACAAGTTTTAGCTCTAATATTGTTAAATACCTTCGTATCCTATGAATTGGCTCATCTTTATGAATACAGTAGTTACATATTTGACAATTTAAACAATAATACTTTACCCGAATGTACCTCATCTAGCAAAGTGAAATGTGTTCTTATCCCACTAATTTCTAACAAGTCAGTATCAATCCTCAGTATGTAATTTTTGTCCTATATGTAGAATGGTGACAGATGGGATAGAATATTTCAACTAAATAATACATCTTGATTTACCATGTTTACTCAGACAAATATTGTTTAGTCGTTTAGTAGTTTCCGACTCTTCGTGACCCCATGGACCAGAGCATGCCAGGCCCTCGTATCTTCCACTGCATCCCGGAGTTGTGTCAAATTCATTCTGATAGCTTCGATGATACTGTCCAACCATCTCATCCTCTGTCGTCCCCTTCTCCTCTTGCTTTCACACTTTCCTAACATCAAGGTCTTTTCCAAGGAATCTTCTCTTCTCATGAGATGGCCAAAGTACTGGAGCCTCAGCTTCAGGATCTGTCCTACCAGGGAGCACTCAGGGTTGATTTCCTTTAGAATTGATAGGTTTGTTCTGATAGGTTTGTGCTCCTTGCAGTCCAGGGGACTATCAAGAGCCTCCTCCAGCACCACCATTCAAAAGCATCAATTCTTCAGCGGTCTGCTTTCTTTATGGTCCAGCTCTCACTTCCATACATCATGACAGGAAAAACCATAGCGTTGACTATGCAGACTTTTGTTGGCAAGGTGATTTCTCTGCTTTTTAGGATGCTGTCAAGGTTTGTCATCACTTTCCTCCCAAGAAGCAGGCGTCTTTTAATTTCGGGGCTGCTGTCTCCATCTGCAGTGATCATGGAGCCCAAGAAAGTAAAATCTGTCACTGCCTCCATACATTCCCCTTCTATTTCTCAGGAGGTGATGGGACCAGTGGCCATGATCTTAGTTTTTTTGATGTTGAGTTTCAGACTGTTTTTTGCACTCTCCTCTTTCACCCTCATTACAAA